TAATGTATCCCAACAGAAATAAACGCAGAGAAACCGATCGAAGACTGCATCCGTATGTACCTTTACAAACGAACATCGCAGGGACCGTGTCAGTAACATCACAGGCAATGAACTACAAAGCTGTGACCCCTTGAACAACTTGCATGCGTCCCGCGTTGGCGTCCAGATGAATATCGAAACACAAGACACCAATGTTACCGAAACTTAATAGCTATTAAGGCATGACTGCTGGTAGTGCATTGTACACCGCAAACGAGGGTGGGGTAAACGCATGTACGCCAACTTGACCCTCCACTTCAGGCGCTTAGTCTAGCTTACTCTCACATCTGTTTACGTGTGTCTTGCTGACGTGTATCCTTGAAAAGCGATCCGGTCGCATCCACTCACATCCTGAGTCCAGCAGAGAGCAGAGCCACGGATATTGACCCAGATACCACTGGCATATCCAAATGCTCAGACTAATACGGAAGCGGAAGCAAGTGCCAACAAGTTAAGGGCATTCAACAGCACTCGCAAATTTACTCCTTACCGCGATACTGCAGTATCAAGGCTACAGTGCAAGCGTTGCTCGCGCAGCGCACTCAAGACATTAGGACAGCATATTCCCCGCAGGGTCAGGTAGGTTAACTGTTGCAGTGAAATCTCTTTGCGCTCTCAGAAGTTCGTAACTCTCAAGTCATGCTTACGTAGCACGTTACAGTCATGATCGGACCATAATGTTTATCACCCGCAAACATCAAAGTGGCAATCGAGATAGCCTACACGATGATTGAACCAGGCATCCGCATGTGATTTGATTAGGTGTGTATACACATTGAGTCGCATTCATTCTGTGGGACACGAAACGAGACATGCGACAGGTCTATGGAATCTATTCAGAACGTGTATTGTCTCAATGCAAATGACCTAACCACACGGTGTCTCAGATTGCCTACAGTACAAGGTGACTTGTACAAAGCTGAAGCGACATTCACTCGCAGTGAAGAAGAATTTCATCAATCAACTGGTCTGTTCCGGCTTACAAACTACTTGATGAGCTTGCAGGATTAAAAGCGTACGATTAAATCTGGCGCTGACGGTGAATAACCATCATATCTGCGCAGGGGCGCGCAGATATGATATTTATCATATATATCGAAGAAGAGCCCTGCTTCATGCTAGTTGCACGACGCTGTGAACTAAAGGCTGATCGCGAAATTCACTAAAAATTTATTTCCCCTACATGGCAGCCCGCTCATCAAAAGCTGTATTGTTGCACAGCAGGTACTACACATGGGGAAAACTTATATGCAGTGCGTAGACGAAAGCATCCAGTCGTCAGAGCTGTCGGCACTTCAAGTTCCTCCACAATATGGAAAGCAAAAACATGCTGCACGTTCCTCTGTTTGATTAGGAAATCCTCTCGTCAACCTATAAAAGACCCTTCTCACCTGCAGAGACTCCGCCTGTTGCCTATGCAGCAGTTCATGCGTAAGCATTCTGTAATGTCTCGTCTTATTTCTGCTGGACAGGGCACCCAAAACGTCTCTGCATGCATAAGTGGTCCATAATACATCACTGCATCTCAAGTAAGCCTCAAACGTCCCTGCATCAACATCACTCGTGTAACTAAAGAGGCAAGGTCTTGTCATACTTTCTGAGTGCAGTCAAGAATCCTGCAGCAGTAGCGGCAGCTAACGAGCAGTTTTGGGGGAGAGCGCACCCTGAGCACCGTTTCAGGAAACAATGAAAGAGTGCAAATTTCTTGAAGGTCCCTGTGGGGCAGCTGATCACCCACGTGCAAGAAGAATTCAGGCAAAGCACTGTCACATCGGTGTCATAATGGAGCAGCTGAAGCTCACCGGCTGTATGCGTATTGCGCCACTTGAAACTCTAGTCAAAAATGACCAAACTGGCAAGATGAGAATGAGCAAGAAGCCCAAAAAAACAATATCAAACTCAGATGTAGAACGCATTCTTGTCTGGACAATAACCAGCAGCAACGGCGAGACTTAACGGAAAAGCGCGTGTTGCGTTGCTTGTGTCGTACAGCACATGCGTACGCTCTGTGAACACAAACAAGGCACTGAAGTTCTTTCTCTTTCGAAATCCTTTGGTGAGGAGAGTCCGTGCGGCAAGCGAGGTCTACCACAGTTTCAAAGACGTGTACGCAGTGCAAATGCGGTCTTCGGAGCTAGCACTGTCCCGCCCTACTCTCCAAAGCGCAAAAGGCACATTTGTGCCGATATTTACCTGCATCCAGACGTTTACGCGGGCACTTGACACAAGCTACCTTACGTGTCAGGTCGGTAGTATAAGGACCCAATGCTTTCAATCCAAAGTGTCTCTCTCACAATGTGTGGAATGTTTCAAAGACCGTCACCCAAAAAAAATTGCTGTTACCCCTCCCACAAAGCCATGATTTGCTTGGGCCCCTTCAGAACATGCTGCTCCGACTGGGGATTCATCAACTGAATCCCAAAACGCAACTTTGAAATGATAAATTACTCACCGTACAAACCAAAGGTTATAAACAGAATGGCACATTGAGCGCACTAAAAATCAAACTCGTAGAGGCCGACCCTCGCTCCAACACGCTAAGCCCATCTCCCTTTCTCAACCAAATAAAGATGAGACAGACGTTGCAGTGTTGGATGACACGAAATCATCATCATGCCGAGCTTTATATTCCAGTTAATCAAGGTCAAAATCATGCGACCTGAATAAGATTCCATTCACATTACTGACACTTTTCTCGTGTTTACCTACTCTCTGGCGTATCAGCACTAATTGACTAAACAGCTTTACAGAAAGTCGACAGTGAACATGCGGATAGAGCACAATCTTTCTTATCAGCGCTAGCACGTGTACTACAGATGAACAGAGCACCTACTGCTGCTGCTACTCATTGAAATTTGTTGACGACAGAGAACATCAACAGCAGGATTTCATATGCTAACCTGAGTTCCTGCATTTTGAATCTTGCCGCGTCACACGACTTGGCGCGACCTACGATTGTAGCGGAACTCGACAGATGCCACCCATTTTGAAACCAAGGAGTGAAACTTAACTAAAACATTTAATTATCCTGAAGGGAAGAATCCGCAGGCTCGCTTCTGTAGGGTGCGTAATTGCGGCTTAAATTCTACGTGGCACACGGCTCCTTACATACAGAGCCAGTTGATGCCAGCCAAGGCACAATGAACAGATTCATCAATACTACTAGCAATGCATGATTCTTACCATCAGCCGTTGGAACAACAAGTCAATACACAAATTGATAAGCAAGTACACTAGAAATATCCCCAGACTGACACATCACAAGTATTGGAGAATCAGGTGCACAACTTGTTTTCCACAATTGTGCGAACTGAAATTAAGCAGGCAGACTTCGCTAAGCTGACCAATTTGAAGAAAAACGGCGTTCCATTCACACGCACACAATTTACCCTATGCCTCTTTTTGAGAACCATGGTTGCAAAGGCACGAACTGGATGCCCGTCGGGTCCAAAGGGCAGCACACTTTTCTCGTATTGCCGTTCCCTCAGATGAATCAGCCCACGCCTAGTCAAAAGTTTTTGCAGGACACAAACGACGCACATTCTATTACAGCGCCAGTTCTCTGATGCATGTTCCACGTTTCTTCCGAAGACAATTGGCACGGCAACAGCAGCTTGAACTACTGTGCCATCGCAGCAATCACGATGCAATCCATCTGCCACTAAACTAAAGAGAAAATAGGTCACCGTGGCATCGCCATGAAGGCAAACAGTTGCATCCTCGGACAGACAGCAATCCCAATGCGGGCATCCTAAATACAAACGGGAAGGATGTCGCAGGCACGTCCCTTCCCTAGGATTTTCAAATCTCTCCAGCATTTCCCCGGTGCAACACGCTGAAGCCATCGATGCTCCCTGGCCAATAGTGTAGTCCTCACACAATGCGAGTTTCATCACCAAATACCGCTGATAAGCAACGCACTGGCTGTGGCGCACATGCGCCGCCAATTAACCTCTACTATGGAGCACACGCGTTTCAGCTTCAAGGGGTGTGCGCACTTTCATGCTATGTTCTTTCATGCAGGACAGCGCAAGTTCTTGCTCAGAGGACTTCACTGAATTAATGACTTTTGGGCAGTCTTTGCAGATGTTTCAACATAAAGACAGGCAAGCTGTTACACTCACAAGCTGAAATTCAGTTCACTTTACTCAAAGGTTTGCTGGCGCTTAAGCCACAGCAGCAGAAAGTATCTCTGGGTTTTCCAATGTTTAGCTTAAGACATTACAATCGTAAAACCCACTGTTAAGCCCCACTGTCCGTCTCCATCTTCCAACAAAAGCCTATCCTTGCAAGCACAAAGACCTGAATCTCAACACATGAAAGACTATATATTTAACGTAGGTGTCGGGCTTTCTGGTTGCTCAGCTGTACGCCGAGCATATGGGTGGACTTGAGCATTTGAACACGGAAAGTTTGTACCGCTTGCTTGGCAACGGAGAATTAGTATCTAAAGACATTTGTGAAGCCCTTTAGACACAGAAACCCTCTATATGTTTCGCTAACTTATACTGGTGCAAACCAAACCAGGAAAGAGTGAATATGTATGCTTTGCAAGTTACTCCGGGACAGTCACAAATCCACGCGTACATGTGCAGACTACGCAAAGTAGTGCAATCTGAAACGTCGGCAAACGCGTCAACGTCATGTTCCGCAATGATAGCTGTCGAAGGCGGCAAAAGAATGCCGACTGCCCTTAGCACGAAAAATTTTGCTTGGTGAAGACAGAACGCATTAGTTTTACAAAGGCACCTACCAGTATCGGCGCATTCGGATACTTAGGTGCTCCATGTCGAGAAACAACTGACTTTCTGATATGTTCAGCAGTGTGTGTGTGCTTTTTGGGTTGCGGGAGCCACGTTGTTTCAGCTACACAACAACACTCATCAGCCGCTGGCAAGCGCACCAGTTCTTGCCCTGCCATGCCCTGCCGTGAACTCTGCTCAGCTCAGCAGCAGCCACTGCTAGTGGGCACTTATCTGCCTTCGCAGATGGGCCTCAGCTTGAAACCTGTCACTGAAGGAGTTGCTTCTGTCTTCAATTACCAAAACGTGCTGCACCACTCTCAAGAAGCCGCTCACGTTCTGCATGTGGCGCCAGCAGCATGGTCGTTGTGATGGACACGGTCGCTACAACAGCGCCAGTGACACGTTCACTCACTCTTGCTTGCCCGTTACACCAAGAAATGTGGAATATGCCGACGTCACGCGTCAACAACGTACTTGTGCGTAATCACCCGGAAATACCAGGCATACACAGTGGTGGTCAATCGACTTCCAAAGCAGTGCGAAGAAAACGGACACGTGGAATAAAAAATTTGCAACGGGAAAAGGTAGATGAGGGCACAAAAAGAGTGTACCCGGGCGTAAATATAAGCGACCAAATCACTTGCAAATCGCAGCTTCGGAGGGCATCGACAACAGTCAAATGAGGCAGAGGCAACCTAAACGGCGAAGACAGCTTCTTCTTGCATGATAGTGTCGTCTCTGCAAGCTCACATACAACCGAGGACCAAACGCTCGCAAACGCAGCATCTTACGGTGGTGTAATGGGCTTGTACTGTCACATGCCTGGAGAGGCTAGTGATGTGTTTTGCCACTGGCCATCTTCCAAACATTTGTTACGGCCGATGTAGCACTGATCTACGTTGCATTGCTGTGAGCAACTTGCAAACGACTAAATCCGAAACTGCGAAGAAACTGCGCTGCGGGATGAAGGGGTTCGTCTCACTACAGACGTAAAACCAAAAGTCCCACACGAATATCGATGGCAATTTTGATGCATTGCTTCACGCTCCTTATGTGTCGCATCGCAGTGCGAGTTCCCCAGCAGCCCTTTACATAACTACTCTCAAGAAAACACTACACAAGGACTCATCCTTTTCTCCCCAAAGCATGTGGCTCCTCACGCAGACCCATGTATTTGCCACTACGGCCCAGGTATGGAACACATAAGCCGAGTTAATGCCACACAGCGCATCCTACATCAAGGAAGGAGCAATATAGTGGCATCTCTTAATGATCGCTGCTACTCAAAAGAGCAAAACACGCCTGTGTGCATTTTAGTACATCCTCAACGGCTAAGATGTAGGGAACCATTCCAAACCCACGCTTGAAAAGCTACACGAGAACTGCCACACCAATTCAGACGCCCCTGGCAAAGGCAGCCACGGCAAGGAGAAATAATCATATCCAAGTAATTTAGAAGCATCAAGCAGTAAAAGGTACGCAATACAGGTGCACGAGAGGTGCTACTCGGCTGATTCGCGGTAGATGAATGTTGTCGTTCCGTGAATTCTGCTCGTTCCTTCATTGAGAAAGAAACCGCGGGAGATTGAAGATGCCTGGACTATGCTGGTAGGGGGAGAGAGTACTATGCAGATTCGCTGGGCACATAGCTATCCCGTTTCAATACCATGCAAAGAAATCGGCCTACTTGGCACTTTCCTTCATCCCCCCTCTTGACTGCAAGTCTTCTTTCCATGTTTCCGTAGTCTTTGCTGAAGTTCAATCTGACAACACTGTTGAAGCAGCGAAGAATTATATATGCAACTGAGAGCGTGGCGGCGAGCAGCGACACCATCGCAATGAGCCCCGGAGTGCGCCCCTTCATGGCTTCTCTGCGTGCTGCCCTTTCAATCTGCATTCCAACAACCTCTTGCTGAGCCTCCCCTTCAGAAAAAGAAAGCGGAGCATCGTATGCTGGGGCCATCATGTCTGCTGCCACAACTCGGGCGGCGAGCCACGCGGAGAGCAGCAATATTGAAGAACACATTGTCGAGAGAGAAAAAGAATAAAACTGACCCGAACAAAGAGGAACTAATTGCATTTATGCCCAATAACACTTGTCCACGGGGGCCCCGCACGATAGAAAATAGACGGACGAAGAAACCGTGAAGCACGGAGTTGTGGGAGGGAATCAAAGAAAAGGAATTGACCTTGCGTGCAACTTTTAAGGGCTTCGCAAATTCGTGAGCCTCAACACCTATTCAGTTTTGTTGTGGAAGCCGTTCGCGTATGGACCAGTGGAAGAACCGTCGCAGTTACTCTTGTGCAATAGAGCTGAGGGGGCTCTGTGTCTGCACGTTTTGCCTCACCTATAAAGCTGAAAAATATACTTTTCGTATTCTTGATGAGAAGTCGTTGGGTTTATGTTGGTTGACGCTGCCAAACTCACTAAACGCTCGCACGATCGCAGCCATTGTGTGAGGGGCGGCTGGAGCCGCCGGGACCCGTTATCCGCTAAAATTGCATTGTTATTCTAGTCTGTATGATTCCCTCGTAATTGCATTTCTTTTCTGCCTGTATTTGGGATTGCCCTTTTCCTGCGAAGAGCGAAAAGGAGCTTTCGCCGCGTACAGCTGTTCACCTACTAGTGCTTCCCCTGGGGGCACTGGTTTTCAGCCCTTCCGCTCGATTATATTATTTCGCCGTTTGTCTTTATACTGAAGCACTAAGATCTGGCCGGTCATAACGGGCTCCACGAGCAAAACAAGAGGAAACGGCTCACAATTATCTTGGTGCACCTGTTTATCTGGGTTCCTTGGTGCTCAAGTTCATCTCCTTGCGCATCTAAACTAGTACAGAGCATTACAAAAGGCACGCGCAGCTACACTTTCATAGTTCTGAGCTCCCTAGCTTATCAATGGGGCTGCTGCTGTAATCACTTCGCCTACATTATGGTAGGTCACTCTCACAGCAATTGAGTCCAACTTGCTCTAGCAGGAAACACATCGGTTTGTGAGCATGCAAAAATGCAGGCCGGCCTACCAACCCAAGTAACATGAAAAAATTCTGAATATTCGGATAAGCGGCCAGGCCTGCTGAAATGGGAGAATCCCCCATCGTGACATTGCAAAATCCCACAATGCCTGCAGAGCGCTCCATTCCCTTTTTTCAAAAGCGAAATCAAATATGTTAACTTAGTCTTTCCGTACAAATAAGTATAATAATCAAGCGCGATCATCTCCCGAGGAAGGTGGCACCAAGTGGCAATTAAACCACAGCTCTTGCGAAACTAGACTGCTGTTCTTGTGGTGACCTAGCGTATAATGTACCAGTAGACAGAAAAGCCAATTTACCTGTTGCTGAGGCTCTAGGCTATTTCCCTCAGTCCTAGTGAGCACTGGCATTGGCCCGCGAGCTTTAGGGTGGAGCCCATTGCGCACTCGGGCGCAGGGGCCCCCTTGCCTCAGCCTGTTGTTTAGAGTGAGCCCTGGGGGGCCCCCCAGCCTCATCAGTTGCTACATTTCGGAAATCATCAGTTGCTGCATTTCAGAACATCCACAAAACCTGTCGCTCTGGGCCTCTGCAGCTAGGCGAGCTCTGCCCTCAAGGGAGGAGCCTTAAAAGCCTGAAATGCGCAACCTCAGCCCCGCTTTTCATGCATTTGGAACTACTTCACACGCTCAGGATTAAGGGGAGGAAGGCAGAAAGAGAGTCAGGGCTCTCCGCTGCAACAGCAGCAAAGCTACTCCTGCTTCAGCAGCAGCAACGGCGACAAAAGCCGCAACCGCTGCTGCCGCTGCTGCTGCTGCTGCTGCTGCCTCTACTGCTAACAACAACTGGTTTGCTTGTCGCTGCAGCTATATTCTTTCAGTAGCAAAACCTACAGAAGAGGCGGCGAGGGCCCCTCAGCTGAGCGTGCGCGTCACCGTGCAGGCTCTTCGCCGGCCGCTCGGTAATGCGTTTTGAATATTTGCGCGAAAGGGAAGCGAGCTTCCTATTTGTCTTAGCAGGTCTTTCAAGTAGAGCTGAGGGTGCACTATCTAAAAATATAAGTTATTTTAGAAGTACATCTGCAGATTCCTTTTCTGAATAGATATCACAAGTGTTTGAAGACATCCCGAGGCAAAACAGGATGAAGCTGCCAAGATGTGGCGCGCCTGCGTTTACTGCATTTGATGAACTTCTCTTCTAGACAACAGTGGGGGAAAATGACTTTTCGCCACAGCCTTTCTTGCCTCTCCGCAGACAACTTCCCTGCGCTGCATTGTGGAGGCCGCATGCAGTTAGTTGGCTGTAAGATAACAAGAGCGAAAAGGGAAGTTCGCAGCTGCAGCTCGCGGCATTTGGCGAAACGAATGCGATTTTCTTCCGCATTTTCTCTAAAAGCAGCCTGAGGAGAAGTCCTGTCAGAGAGTCTTCTGCCTTTCTGGAAAGATTCGGAAGCAACTGGCAGCAAGAGTCGTTTGCTGCAAAGACAGCTGCAGGCAGAGGAGTTGCAGCAACTGCGGCGAGAGCCTCGCACGCCTCCTGCCTCTTCAGCCTTCGCGGGAAAAGGCAGAGTGACGCGTTTCATAATTATCTTTGAAGAGTTAAAAGGCTTTTGCAGCGGCGCAGCGCCAAGTTAAAGCTTCCCTATTTGCAAATTGAAAACAGATTTAACTGCTTCTTGCCTTTGTTTAGTGTTAAATAGTCCTCTTAAACTGCAGTTTCCGAAGGCAGCTGCACTGGGAGAGGAGGCGCCGCCAGCAGTGAGACGCTTTGGCCGCCGTCTTCTGCCCAGCCACAGAAGAATCAAAGCGGCAAATTTGCCTTTCAAAATATTTTATTCAAGTTCCGCTCCTTAGCAGCTTTTTTCTCATTTTCAGGCCTGTCTTTTAACACTGCGCCGCGCCTTATTGGAGGCGTAGGCTCTGCACTGTAACCGACGCATAAACTTGAAGGAATGTCAGTAGAACTCCCCCGCTTTGTCTTTGGTATATTCCCCTAAATCATTTGTAGGAGAAAACCCCTTTCTTTGCAAACAAGGCACAGCCTAGGAGCCGTAGACATGCGCCTCGCCGTAGAGCTGCGAAGCCAAAGTGCAGGCAACATTTCAAGTATGAAGGCATTATATGGAGCCCATTTATAGTGCTTTTGAGAAGAAGAATGCTTATGGTGAGTGGCACTTTAAAGGCTGACAGCCATTTGCAAAGAAACGACTTCGAGCACATGAGGATATCGAGCAAAGAACAGCAGCGAACTGTTGTCTTTGGCTCGGCATTTGACTGGAGTTTCCACATTTCATTTTTCTCTGTCGCTAGCCGCCTTCACTTGGTGTTCTTGTGCAGTTCATTCCCTCACACCTCCAATGCTTGGTGTGCATGCGGCGTGCTTTGGCTAACTTGGAATGTCTAGAGGCATATAGTAAGCCTGAATCCGTTTCCAGACTCTGAATTGCTGCGTTTAGGGAGTTTCTGTCCTTTTGTCCATTTGGATCGATGGTCAATCTGTTTAGCTTCTTGCAGCTGTTGCATGTGGACTGCGGCGTCTGCTGCGCGCCCTGCGATGCAGCGAGAAAGCTAAGTGACAATTATATTAACACGTTTTAATTCATTTATTTAATCTTCCGAGGGTGCGAAACTGGGAAATTTGAGTTGCGTGGGCGTAACCGCCCCACCGTGGCTATTCAGTTAACAGCCGTTGGTGATCTGCAGACCTGGCGCGCTCGTTTAAAGTATTTTTTGGCTTTCTTTGCCGACACTCGGCGAATTAATATGCTTTATAAATGCCTATTTAGGGAAAGCACAGGAGAGCAGCAGCAACAAGGGAAGTTTGTGGCTTCGGTAAAGTTGTACCAGGGCGTCACCTTGAGCTTCGTCGGTCCGCAGCCACCACTTGTGCCGCCCGTTACTAAGATTAAGGCCATCTATGGTTGCGAAATTGCAATTGAATGGTATTTAATAATTTATATATCCCTTTTTGCAAGCAGGAAACCATGCGGCTCGCGAGCTGGCTCCCTGTGGCATAGGCTGGCCGCCCAGCAGCAGCAGCAGCAGCAGCAGCAGCAACAGGTCATTCGTCCTTCTATGAAATTGAATCGCATTTCCCGTCCAGTCTGTTCTTGAGCTGCTGCTTCCCCTCGCTCCAGCCTCGAGGCTCGGCTCTCCTTGTCTTGCCCGCGCGCCTCCCGCTGCTGCTGCTGCTGCTGCTGCTGCTGCTGCTGAACTCACTAGCTTTCTTGCGTTTCCGCGGCTGTGCTGCTTGGGGCTGTTGCAATGGCCTAGCTGCGGCGGCGCTGCTGCTGTGAGAGGTTGGGGCTGGGCAGCCTGAGCATGCTGCTGCTGCTGCTGCTCTAGGCGTCAGCTGCAGAGCCTTGCCGAGCAGCAGCAGCAGCAGCAGCAGCAGCAGCAGCAAGATGGGGGCGGGGATCTCGCGCACCAAGAACAAGCCCAGCAGACACCAGCACCAGCCAGGCCGGCTGCTGCCTTCGCCCGCAGCCCAGGGGCCCAGCAAGCACCCCTCGGGGGCCCCGGGGGCCCCGGGGGGCCCCCTGGGGGCCCCCCTCAGCACTTCGCCCGAACGCTGCGTCACTCTCTACCACCGCGAACAAGACAAAGACAAAGACAAAGACAAAGACAAAGACAAGGAGGCCCTCCCGGGGCGCCTGCGGACCCTCAGGGCCCCGGGGGCCCCGGGGGCCCCCGGGGGCCCCCCTGCGCGGCGGGTGCGGGGGAACTTGGCGCGGCCCCACACGCAGACGAAGTCCCGCAGCATCGAGGACTCGGGGGCCCCCCCTGCTGCTGCTGCTGCTGCTCCCGCTGCTGCTGCTGCTGCTGCAGCAGCAGCAGAAGGCGGCTCGGACTTCAGCATAAACAGGTCCAACTTCATCCTGGAAAACGCAGGAAAGATCCAAAGTCTCTACGACATCGACCCCACAACTCTGGGATCGGGAACGTACGGGAGCGTCTCCAGGGCCATTCGCAGATCCACGGGAATGCAAAGAGCGGTGAAGACCATCAGCAAAGCCCAAGTCCGCAGCATCGAGCGCTTTCGCAGGGAAATCGACATCATGAAGAGCCTCGTGAGTCCCTGCTGCTGCTGCAGCAGCAGCAGCAGCAGCAGCAGCAGCAGCGGGGGGGGCGGGGGCGGGAGCTGCTGCCTGGAAGCAGCGCGGCGGCAGCAAGCGCTCCGGCTGCTGCTGCTGCTGCTGCTGGGAACACTCGGCTACAAGCAGCAGCAGCAGCAGCAGCAGCAGCAGCAGCAGCAGCAGCAGCAGCAGCAGCAGCAGCAGCAGCAGCAGCTGGTGCTGCTGCTGCTGCTGCTGCTGGGAACAGTTGCTGCGGCGGAGTGGAGGGTGGAGCGTGGGCTGTGTTTGGGGTGTACGTACAGCGGGGGCCGGCGCTGCTGCCGCTCCGCAGCTGCTGTTTGTTCACTTCTTTTTATTTATTTCTTTTTATTTATTTCTTTTTATTTATTTCTTTTTTTCTTTTTTTTTCATTTCAGGATCATCCAAATGTGGTGAAACTCTTTGAGACATTTGAAGACCACAGAAACATTTATCTCGTCATGGAGTGCGCAGCACAAGTTGAATTCTCCCAACTGATTGTTTTGAATTCTTTTGTTGAATTTCTTTTTTATTTTCTTGTTTTATTTCTTTTTTTATTTCTTTTGTTGAATTCTTTTATTCAATTCTTTTATTGGATGCTTTTATTTAATGCTTTTATTGAATGCTTTTATTGAATGCTTTTATTGAATTCTTTTGTTGTATTTTGTTATTGAATGTCTTTCGGTGAGTATCTTTTGTTGAATTCTTTTATTGAATTTCTTTTGTTGCATTTCTTCTATTGAATTTCTTCTATATTCATTTATTGAGTTTCTTTTGTTGAATTTCTTTTGTTGAATTTCTTTTATTTTCTTTATTGAATTTCTTTTATTGAACTTCCTTTATTGAATTTCTTTTATTTTCTTTTGTTGAATTTCCTTTATTGCATTTCTTTTGTTGAATTTCTTTTCCTGCAAAGACTGCATCAAAAGTATCTTTCTTTGTTTTCGCCTGCAGCTCTAAGTCCATAGAAAGTCTTATTTGTGCAGATTTTCTTTTTTTAATTTTTAAAAAATATTTTTTGAATTCGAAATTTGGCTGAGAGGAAAGAAGTGGCTGTTGTTGGCTGTTTGCGACTTTTCGCAGTCTTTTCTCTTGGCCTTTTGGCGTTTTGCAATTATTGGAAACTTTTGCACTTTTTGTTTTTCTTTTAATTTAACTTTTTGTTTTTTTTTTACAAACTCAGACTCTGTGACTTATTGTTTTTCTTTTAATTAAACTTTTGTTTTTCTGCAAACTCAAACTCTGTGACTTTTTGTTTTTCTTTTAATTTAACTTTTTGTTTTGTTTTGCAAACTCAAACTCTGTGACTTATTGCATTTCTTTTATTTTTTGCAAACTCAGACTCTGTGAGTTATTTTCTTTTAATTGAACTTTTGTTTTTCTGCAAACTCAAACTCTGTGACTTATTGCATTTCTTTTAATTAAACTTTTTGTTTTTTTGCAAACTCAGACTCTGTGACTTACTTTTTTAATTGAACTTTTCGTTTTTTTGCAAACTCAAACTCTGTGACTTATTGTTTTTTATTTAATTAAACTTGTTTTTTTGCAAACTCAAACTCTGTGACTAATTGTTTTTCTTTTATTTGAACTTTTTGTTTTTTTGCAAACTCTGTGACTTATTGTTTTTTAATTGAACTTTTTGTTTTTTTGCAAACTCTGTGACTTATTGTTTTTCTTTTATTTGAACTTTTTGTTTTTTTGCAAACTCAGACTCTGCGAAGGCGGCGAGCTCTTTGACCGCATTATTGCAGAAGGTCACTTCACAGAAAAAAGAGCAGCACTTTTGATGCGCCAAGTCTTTTCCGCAGTTAATTATTTGCACTCCAACCACATAATGCACCGGTGGGCTTGGCAGCAAAACCCTTCTTTTGCTGCACTTGCTGCAGCAAAAAGTTATTCTTTTGCTGCACTTGCTGCAGCAAAAAGTTATTCTTTTGCTGCACTTGCTGCAGCAAAAAGTTATTCTTTTGCTGCACTTGTTGCAGCAAAAAGTTATTCTTTTGCTGCACTTGTTGCAGCAAAAAGTTATTCTTTTGCTGCACTTGCTGCAGCAAAAAGTTATTCTTTTGCTGCACTTGTTGCAGCAAAAAGTTATTC